CTGTGGAGGGTCACATTTTGCTATGTTTTCCATTTTGAGTGTATGGAAATCTAACAATACACAAACTGTCCCAACTGTGTCTCCAAACGTCCTCATACCCTGCCAATTTAGAGGACATTTCAAGCTTAATAGTGGCAAATCCGCAAATCCGAAGCTCATTTGTCTTTCAGAACAATTCTAAGCCCCTACAATGCGATCGGTAAAAAGATTTAAGCTTATTTCACAGTAATTAAGCTTTGGATTTTTAGAAGACATCACCTTACTCAAATGATTTGAGTGAGGTAGCCTGCATGACAGGCACTTTATGAGCCAAGCGGGGCGAACGCGATATTTCGCGGAGCGCGACACGAGCGCGAAGCGCGAGACGAGGGAAAGAGAAAAATAAAGCGCCTGTTCGCAGTCCATTGTTCTTGCTGTTCCGCCCACTTAGGCCCACAAATATTAACTGCCCGCGGTGATGTCAAAAGAACCAATCAAAACACGACCATTATCGCGCGAAAATTGTCACCTTTCTGGCGCGAAGCGTCTGCATTGCAGTGGAAATGAGGAGTTAAGACTGTTTCCATGGCTTCGCGAACTCCTACTAAAGTTTACGGGCCTATAAAATCATTTAATTCTTTATGTAGATTTTGCAAAAAGCCTTTTCTGCAAAATTCGAGTTCAATTCCAATTTTTTCCGTAACCCAAAGGCAAGAATGCGAGGGCGTTCAGCTGTCAAATCTGCTCTCGGACTACGGTATTTTTGTGCAAGACGATTCAAGCCTGTCCAGTAGATCGTGTCCGAAATGCGCTAGGCGCATTTTAACATCATGTAAAACTTTGCAAGAAGTAAAGCAGGTAGCTCAGGCCGGGCCATCGCCAAGGAATCCGTCGGTGAAAAGATTAGCAAAGAATTCACCAAGCGCCGGGCCATGCGTTTCCTTGGATGGTTCGAATTCTCATCGTGTTCATTCCCAAGGAAGAGCGAGAAAAAAGCTATCGCTGGGTAAAGAGAACTTGCCAGCCAATGAAAGTATATCAGAAATAAACCGAGTAGAGCGTTTGGATGAGGAAATCAGAGGTCTGATGAATGTTCCAGTAGAAGAAACACAAACAATAACTAAGGTAAATGTGTAATTACGACACGTGCGACAGCTTTGTTTTTATCTTGTTGTGTACACTTGATATAACTTAAATTGATCTCGAAAAGGATCAGTTATTGTTCATCGAATAATTATTGTCTCTTTGTTTTTTATAATAAGGTTTTTGTGGCACATCCGAGGAGTATGAAAGTGAAGGAAGTGAAATGCGAAGGACTACAAGCGACGGTGGTTCAGCGAGCTGCGGAGAATAATTTCAAGAGTGTGTTGTTTGCTATTATAAACTGTCCCGAAACTGCATCTCTCGCACGTGAGGTTTTCAAGACGAAAATTGCTACGGAGTGCAGAAATTATGCAAAGCAAAGGAATTCGCTCAACACTACAGATCCAGCCCTAGTCGCCGAGTTCAGAAACTCCACTTTTGTGAAGGAGGTAGAAATTAAAACGCCATTCTTGTACTCCGCCTTACAAGGCGGAGTTAAGGAAGACACGGATTTCAACAAAATTGCGTTAGGAGCTTCATCATGCCTTTCTACGAGAGTTAAATCTTCGGCATATTTAACTCGTAACACTGTAATTCTTCAGCATGGTGGGTGCAAAGCGCAGGATATTTCAAGGCTGAATCGGTTGGGCATATGTAGCAGTCACGACACGTCTATCAGAGTTCAGAACCGAATGGGAGAGGCATTTGACGAGGATATCATCGAGTGGAAAGAAGACATAGAAGAAACGAAGCAAAAGATCCTTCTTCTGGAGGAAGTTAAGAAAGTTCAAGTCCCTGTCATTGGCGAAGACGATATGGAAGTAGATGTCGCTATTGATTTTTCAAAGGACACTTTGTCCGGTTACAAATATTATGCTGATGATATTTTTGAAGATTGCGAGCAACTGCTCCAGAAAGCACGCTTCGAACTTAGATCTGAGTTAAACCAGGATGTCCTTGAGAGAGTGTTAAATCAACTGACAACTCAGGAGCTTCCGACCTATAGGTGAGTATTTCAGCAGTCTTTAAGAAATTTAGATGCTTGTAAGTCATAACATTTTCACTTTCTCAACGTACATCTCTTTGGCAAGTTAAAGTCAAACTGATTAGATTTCTTAGAACATATTAATGTTTAAACTTATGATTTTTATAGATTTTGATCTTTAAATCTTAGTTTTCTTAGTGTTATTTTATTTTATTTCCTTTTTCGATTTTCTTCTTTATTTTTTAGCTATTTATGACATAATTACAGGACCCTTTTGATAACAGTTCTTTTTTCAGAACTGATAGGTTATCCTGTATAAATATTCGCGTTATTATTATTATTATTAATGTTCCAGAATTCCCCACTTAAACATGTGTATGCAAATAATCCTGGCTTTTTATTTCCAGTTAAAATATTGTAATGGACTAGTGCATTATTATAAAATTATCAGTGTCATAGTTAATACGACCTTTTTGCGGGATAGCTGTGAATGAAGTAATTTATGGAATAATAAAATAATAATAATATTATTAATCCAAAGTGGGAAACTTCACACTTAAAGTTCTGTAATTTGCCCTATTGTTTTCCTAGGATTGTCACAGACAATATTAATCTCCAACAAAGTTCACGGTTCGAGTCTAAGAATCGCCAGGGAAACAGGTTTGACTGGTCTAACCAATTTGCAGTCCGAGATCGGGTCGTTAACAATGGCTTATCAGATGAATGTTCACAACAAAGCCTCATGTCCCTTGATCTTAGTCAGCAAGTTATTCCATCCGGAGATGTGCTTGCGTCCTTGCGTTCAAACTTCATCCCTTTGGTGGCCAGAGTTTTAGTGTAATATTTGCCTGCCTACAAAGTTTTCAAGAAAATTGTAATTCACCACATCCCCCACGAAAATTCTGAAAAGATGGCTCAAAAGTCAGACGCGGTATGTTAATAACTGATTTATTACAATGGGTACTATTTGAGAAGCCTAATTTACATGCTCTTGCCCTTAAAATGTACACATACCCCATGGAAAATTATTTTAATAGATAGACTTTATTTTTGAAAAAAAGCTTAATAACTCTGGTCCATTTGATGCTGAACACTTATTATGGTATCAAAACAGCATTTTGGTTCATAAAAAGTCAATGATTACACTATTTGTTTATGGGAATCCCTATACCCATGTCTCCTGTGTCCACCATTTTCAAGAATTAGAATGGTTTTATTAAACCTATGTGTTCCAAAATAATATCTAACAATAATATTGTTAAAGCTATATAGCTGAAAGTAAACAAAATAATATGCAATGGAACTAAAATAAATATTTCAATGGACGTGCAAAATTACTCTAACTTTTTTTACATTCTCTAGTGTTACTTAGGTCTTGAATTCCTGAACCCTAACAAGTCTGTTGATATGGCTCAACTCCTGACAACTTTCCATGACAAGTATGTGCCAGCTACTGAGGTCAATGATACCAAAGAAGTCCTCCATAAGGTTCCGCTGGATGGAGATCAGCTTACGGAAGAGCGTGCAAGGAATGTGCAGTGGACTTACAGACTTGGGGCAACTTCATTTGATCGTCTTGATGGTTTGGAAACAAATCATGCTGATTGGTACTGGAAAGTTAAGCTTTTCGAGGTAGACACAAGTCTTTTTATATCAATTAAAACCCTTTACCTTATACTTGCAAGTATTTTGTAGCGATCTCTGTTATTAACAGTGCCATGTACAGTGTATTAAGGGCGTGTAAAGTGAAATTGCATACGCATTCCCAATAGCCTCACCTACTTGTATATCAGCATGTGAACCAACACTGAACAATATATCCTGTTCTCCTTTCCTAGTAGGTTATTCAGTACTTACATGCATTATAGATATGGTCATTAACGAACCTCTGTGAAGTTGTAATTACAGTTATAATCCAAACATCAATCTTGATTAGGTGGGAGAAAAAGGAAATAGTTAACTGCAGTTACTGTAGTTGTAAATCTTCTAACATTTTTATTGTTTGGAATTCACGAAGGCTTGGACCAAGTTTCACCACAGTAATTGCTAAATTTCAAGGATCAAAAATCTGATTTAGTGATGCTGGGAGTGTTTTTTAGTTGGATTGATGAACATATTTTTGCCATCAAAATCTGATATTAATTCCTCCTCAACCAGTCACTACAAACCAACCTGTCATCCTTGGGGAATATTAGTGTGTGTCAGCATAAAACAGGCTGTCCACTTAATAGTGTTTTCAGTCTTTACTATTTCTTAAACAGATTGCAGAAGAGATGTTTATAAAGGCTGAATCAAGTGGTGACATTGGAACATCAATAGCATCAATGAACTGAACAGGAAAGATCACAGCAAAGAAAGGACCATATGATCAGTACAATGCATTCAAAGAATTCTTTGATAGGGAGACTGAGGCCCATATAATCACTGCATGGCTGGCATTTGTAGGTTTAGATAAAATGGATGGTAAGAAGAAAATGTAATCGCATGAATTTAATAATTTGGGTTTGTGAGACTAAGTAAATGTTAAATGTATGCCTGAGTTTATGTTATTACTGTAAATTTTTTCTCTATTAGTCTCCGGGGGCTTCTTAATTTTAACTCTCACGAATAAAGAGAAGAGGGGAGAGGGCTTATTAAATTTCTGCAAGTCACAGTCTGTTTACACCATACATAAAATACACTACTTTTCTTACTTTTCATACAGTAATTGCAATCAAAGGACTGGTAATAACCAGTTTCAAAGTGATTGAAATAACTAGCACTTTTTTATAACCTAACAGAAAAAACATATTTAATCTAGGGGGGTTTGAGCTGAGTAGAGGCATTATGCCTGCTCAAACTGTCTGAGACAAAGTAAGCCTGTTATATAGTCAAACCCCTCTAAAGGACAGCTACCATAGCGAGACACCCCTCCTAAGCAGACACTCAAATTGTATTGGTCCAAACCTCACATAAAGCCTGGATTATATTCTAACCCCCCCCCTCCCCATTATGGACAGTTCTCTTAAGGCAACAGTTTGTCTTCTTTTTATAGGTGTACCCTGCAAGAGGAAAATCCCAGAATCTGCTAAAAAATGGACAGAGGTGCAAAAAAGAACTTGGTTACATGAGGAGATTGCAGCCTTTCTGGACCTATTCCTGTTTGCTGAAAACACACAAACCATATCTGAGCTACATGAAGGAATGTCCTACATGGAACATGGGAGGCTGTATGGGTACACATGCCGTGTAGATGGATGCAACGAAGTCTTCATGTTACATCCCATGAGAGTCAAGTACGGCAACTTGGTTTATACCAATAAATAATTTATTAATATTCTTTTGTTATTAAACTTTCCTCCTTCCCATGCAAGGTAGTAGTATTATTTATTCACTGTGTATTCCAGATTTTGATGACTGGATGCAGGGTTATATGTCAAAAAAATATGATTCTAGTTTCAAAAAGTTGTGATTTGGCAATAATTGATCTGCTGGATTCCCTATTAGCTGAGATCAGTTAAAGATTTGGTAATAACTCGGGTCATTTCATGTTGTCTTACATAATATGACAAATAACTAGGGGTTTTCAATAGAATTGGTCTACTATTATTTTTTGTAGGCATGAATGTTCCCAGCACTCCTTCATTTCACCTGACTTGTTAACAAATGACGAAAGAGATAATGAAGGGTACTACAAATGCAGAGATGTCAACTGTTTTCTCCTTTACAAGACCAAAGCTAGTAGAAACAGGCAAGTTATGTACTGGAAACATATCAACTAGTTTCTTGTGTTTATGGGTGTTTAAGTCATTTGCAGCAGATACATGGCTACTCAGCCTGGCATTATTTATTTGTATTTTTAGGAAGCATCCAGGTTTTGTTATAAAATGATCATTGGCACTGTTGCATTGCAGTTATTAACACAGTATCAGATTAAATGCTCTTCAGATTACAGACACTAACTTGTTCAAAAAAAATTACTTTGTTTGAGAAAACATTTTATATGGAAGCAAACAAATCCATTAATTTTTCTGGGTATCTTTATTTGTATAGACATGAACGGAAAACCCACGACAACATCCCAGAGCAGTCATCCAGTGTCAGTGGGGAACCCCAAGAGCAAGTAGTAGAGGACTATAAATACAACTACCATGTAGCTCGTCTGTTTTATGGTCTTCTGATGGTGAACACTCACGACTCGATTAGAGAGGGAGATGCAGCACGACTGATGGATTGCATGAAAATGTCACTTTTGTTTTTCAAGAAATTCAAGAAACACAAATACGCTTACACAGTGCTGTTGTTTCTTTGTAAAGTATTTGCAATTTTGTCTGAAAGGGAAGCTTTCCATCTTTGCTGGAATCGCTTTTTTAACGGAAAAGGGGGAAAGGGCAAAAACATCCCACTTGATTTAAAGATGGAATTTTATAACCACATGCTGAAATCGTGTCTGAGAATGCTTGGAGGAAATATCAATGCCAAGAGTGCCCAAAGAGTTGCTAGATGTCTGACTATGATGCAGAAAGTACTAGATTCAGTCGACTGTGATGTTAGGCTAGTTAACAAAAGTGGGGCCCACAAGTTGGTTGAAGCTCAGCAAGCAGTATCCCAAATTGTAAATGATCTTGTTGAAGGAAATGTATTTAGCTTTCAGCGAGGTAGAGAAGGATATACTGCTTTTCCAAATTTTGAAAGAGATATCCTAAAGGGTCTTGATTATAGAGACTTCTTTTCATGGTCACGAGATCTTATCAAAACATGGTATGCTATGTACGAGTAAATATAAAAGGCTGCCTCATTTCCTATGTTGACTTTGACTGAGATGCTCACCACAAGTCAAAATGATCTATTAGATTCAATAAACCCTTTACGGCCCAATTACATTATGCAAAAATTTCTTCTGGTTTTGTACTTTCTAAGTGTTTGGAGAAATTTTCTAAACATCACAGCAGTTCGACTTGTCTGCTTATTGCTTTCTTTTCGAGCTGTCTGTTGTATTGTGTAGCCATGTCGCAAGATGAAATAAGATCTACATTGGGGCTCAAAGGCTTAAAAGCAAATTATCAAATTCATCTTCACTGACAGGACAATCCTCCTCTTCTCCAGAATCATCTGATGAATCAAAGTAGTCACACCAGAACAAATCACGCATGTCTGTATGACAATCTGTGGCTGTACATGAATTTTGCTCCTGGGCAAAGGGTTGACAAAACATTGCATCAGCAGAAATGTCTATGTCTTCAAACTGTTCACTAAATATTTCTACAATGTCTCTAGCAAGTTGCATTGACGTAATGTTATGATTGTCAATCAAATATTCAACATCAAAAATGTGGCTGGCTTCACTCACAATACCTTCAATGACATCATCAGAAAATCCATGTGCCATAACAGTATTCCCTAATATAGGAAATGAAATGTTTTGATTAAGTGTTTCCTGGATTTCAAACAATGCAGATCTTAAATCATTCTCATCTTCTGTAGTAATGCTTCTTGCTCTCCCTGATTTACTCTCCTGATCAGAAGTAGATCCTTCAAATGCTGGCATCTGAACATTGCATTTGTTGCCACCACACTTGCACATTCTGTGGCAGTTGTGGCAGCAGCGATGCCCTTCTGGGAGAGATTGTATGTCGCGCACAAAATCCTTGAAAAGGGCCACTCGAAGGCAAGTGTCTATTTTGAGGCAAGCTTTAATTTTTTTGTCACAGAGACGCAGCTGCTGGCCATGGTAAAACGTGATATTATGTGCCTCTTTGCCATCCCTGCCTGCTCTGCCTGCTTCTTGCAAATGACTACGCAAATCTGGGGCAGGACCATAGTGTATGACATATCTTATGTCTTTAAAGTTCACTCCTAGGCTAAGTGCAGAGGTGGCAATTACTACTCTGATGAGACCATCATCATTCTTAAAAGACTTTCTTACTCGCTCCTTTAGTTCAGCGGGGCTGTTGCTGTGGTACACTCCAAGTAGACATTTAGTTTTTGACTTGTTCTCATCTATATAAGCAAGGTGTCCCAGTTTCTTGAGAAGGTAGCTCAATACAACTGACATGTCATTAATACTCCAACAAAATACAATAGTCTTTGGAGTTTGTTCCTGTTTAGTGCCAATCTTGTCAACAAGCCAATTGAAACAACTCAGCCCTCTCTTGACATCCTTAGCAGAGAACCGTATATTTTCATTGTTAACTGACACATCAATCACACTTGCTTTAGGCATCCCAAGAAGCTTCACGAGAGCTTCTCTGCTTCTCTGTTCCACAGTGGCCGTCAAGGCAAGTAAAGGGGTTCCTGGTTTAAGAAAGGATCTTATTGAGGCAATGTCCCCATAAGCTTTCCTAAAAGCTGTTTTCTTGTTAGTAGCCTGGCCCCTTAATCAAAAAGAAAACAAGATATTATAAATCTCATATAACACCACTACACCTATAGCACTATGTAAATAGTTTTTACTCTATTAGTTACAGTGGAACCTCGATAAAACGAACCTCTATATAACGAAGTCCTCGGTATAAAAAAAAAATTCTTGGCCCCAGTAATAGTAGAATTTATGAAAAAGAACCTCGATAGAACGGAACCTCATTATAACGAACATATTGTGCCAGTCCCTTGGCCCTTCGTTACATTGAGGTTCCACTGTAGTATGGCAGATGTAGAGCTACTTTGTAGATATACTGTCAATAAATCGTTATTAATATTATTATTGAAAACAACTTTACTCCGCTTACTACATTGTAAAGTGTTTTGTAAAATAGTGCATAGCAGTAGGCTGATTTTAAACCAAACATAAGCAGACAAAAGAAAACAGTAGTTGTAAGATCACTGTAGTGTATTACAGTACTGAAACCATGCTCTAGCTTAACAAGTCTGATAATTTGTTCTCCACAAATTACAACCAAAAAGTTAACAATCTATCGACACCGACGTACATACATCTCAGGTTTTCAATGTCGCATATTGAATTTAAGCCTACTGTGTGGTGGAAATTACAATGAAAAGGAAATACCGAATACCTACCAACTTTGAGCAACGTGAGCTTCATCTACGACAATGAGCTCCACATTGTTTCTCAGGGCGGACTTCTTGAAGTTATTCATCCAGGTCTTCCTCAGCCACATTTCTGCACTACCAAACACCAACTTGTATTCGCCCTTTAGTATTTTTTCATCCGTTTCTTGGCTATCGCCAACAGCTACAGCTGATATGCCTATGTCGGCAAGTTCCTGAACCTGCTCTTCTGTTATAGCATTCAACGCGCTAACAATAATAACGTGACAATTTTTCCTGCCCTTCACCAACTCGAAGATTCGCGGAAATAGTTGGAAAATTAAGCTTTTACCAAATCCTGTTGGTAACAAACCCAACACGTCTTTCTTCTGTAGCAGTGCTGCGATACATTTCTTCTGTTCCTCCTTTAAACAATCGATATTGGGAAAACTTTCGAGGGCACTCTCTATCGCTTCTTCCAAACTCAAGGCCGCCATTTTTGTTTACTAATCTTGATCACGCTGCGTCATCATCACGTGGTGCTAATTGACCAATCAGCATGACCGTCTACCTGATAGACGGTCGAGCATTGGTGGAACAGCAAGAACAATGGACTGCGAACAGGCGCTTTATTTTTCTCTTTCCCTCGTCTCGCGCTTCGCGCTCGTGTCGCGCTCCGCGCGAAATATCGCGTTCGCCCCGCTTGGCTCATAAAGCGCCTGTCATGCAGGCTAGAGTGAGGTGATGTCTCCTCAAATCGATCTAAAAACGGAATCTCATTAATTACAATACCTGTTCCTATAGTTTGTGTTTTCCAAGGATGTGTTATAAGCAGCTGTTGATATTTTGCCCAAGCTCTTCTTAGAATACTCATTACGGCTTGCCTTATATCTTTTTTTGTGTGCGCGCTACCATCCGCTGGAGATACGAGCGACTAAATACAGGAATGGCTCCGACCTGTAATTGGAGGATAAAAATAGTTAGTAATTAATAAGTTAACGCTTAACTTTCAGCCACGCGTCACACTGGACAACGATATCAGTAACGTCGTTATGATGTGTGACTTCTGTTTCGTCTTAGGCAGTGAAAGAAGCAAGAAGTCGATGTATGAACCTTAAAATTTCACTTACATCGGCAGAACCTTTTTCTAGTGTTAAACAGTACCAACAGAGATGGGAAATTGTCACAGCTTTGGCGAACAGCGTTCAGTTCGGAGTCAAACACTCGGAGCTATTCCTGTATTTAAACCGCTGACGGGTCAATGTACAGGAATGGCTCCGATCTGCATAAAGAGAGACTTGTCACATGATGTGGTGTAGTTTTTGCCGGGTGATGCAAATCATGGCAAAACAGTGGCTTTTCTTGACTGAGGTTTGTTTTGAGGAGGGACCATCAGAAAAGTGCCCTGGGAGGTACTTCCCTATATAACCATATAGGTATGTGCCACCCCAGAGAAACGGGTTATTGAGCCGTTTTGGTCTGAAAACGGGTATAGACTTTACCCACCGGTAAAGGCAGAAGAAATGCATACAAGCCTAAAAAAAGCATGTTCAAGTGCCGAACCCCCCTAGAAAATGCTTTCATTCTCCTCACCCCCCATCCCTATCCTATGCA